CGGGCAGCTGCTGTCCGGAGTGGGGCAGGAAGCCCAGCTCCGGCTTTTGGAGGGAGGCGCCGCGGGGCTAGCCGGAGCATGGGGCTGGGTGAGCGCTGAGAGTCGCGGCCGCAGCCATCAGCCCTGGAGATGACCAGGAGCGGCCACTGCTGAGAACTATGTGGAGAGAGGCTGCGGTGAGTGCTGGCGCGGGACGCGGGGCCTGGGAGGCCCCTTTGGGGGAAAAGATGGTGGGAGGCCTGGATAGGAGGGGGCGGCAGGACCGCAAGAGGGTCGTTGCGTGGGAATGATCGCACCTCCTTCGGGGATCCGGGATCGCGGGAGCCCGAGTCCTTCCCTCCCCCTCTCCTGCCGGCTCATCGCAAACTCAGCCAGCCACCCCCCTCCATTCCCTCCTCTTTCTCTCCCTACCCCCCTCGCTCAGCAGCTCCTGGCCGAACAACTGCCAGCAGCCGGCGCCGGGGAGGTGGTAGGGGGTGAGGGTGGAGATGCCCAGTTAGCTTCTCGTGCGTGGCGAACCTGGGGCTCGGGTTCTCCTGTGCGCCCAGCAGCGGAGCTCTCCATATCGACCACGGGGTCTGAGGATCCGCACAGGGGGTCTTGGGCATGGAGCTTCAGCTCCCCCTCTTCGGTTGAGCCCCCTGTGCGCACAGGGGGCTGTGAGCATTGCAGACTGCAGCCTGCCCCCCAGTCCCCTTTCTCCTGCCCGCGGGCTGACCCAGCCTCTCCGTCTCTTCTCCACCCCGGTAGAGCCCTGCTGCAGAGCCTCCGGCTGGGATAGCCGCCCCCCGTGGGGGCGATGCAGACAGCGCGGGACAGCCAGGGGAGCGCGCGGGGGCCGCAGCATGCGGAAACCCGCTAAACCCGGTGGCTGCTGAGGCGGCCGAGATGCTCGTGCGCGCAGCGCGCCCCACTGCATCCTCGACCTTCTCCGGCTACAGGTACGTCCCAGCGGGAGACCTGGGCTCGGCCGGCCTGGGAAGAGGAAGACTCCACCGGAGAGAGAGCGAGAGCGGGAGAAGGAACAGGAGAGAGAGGGAGAGAGGAAGCGGGAGAGGGATTATCTGTAGCGAGGCGCGGGAGGAGCACCAGGGGGCGCTGCGGCTCCGCGCTCCGCTGTGCTCACCCTAAGAGTGCCTCGGCCAGAACGAGTTCTCCCTAACTTCCCCTGGCTCCAGCAGCGCCGGGCCCGAGGGGCGCGCGCCTGTGCACGCGTGCACGACTGTGCTGGTATTTGCAGGCACGCGCAGTTGTGCACCTGGCGCGATACATGTGTGTGCACCGACTGAGGACGTGTGTGGACTCCGGATGGCCGTGGGCACCGCCACAGCGGCCTGCGGCTGTGCGCAGAACGGCGCGCGTGCCTGTCAGGTTGTGCAGCCCACTACCCACATGCATCTAAGACTTGGTAACAGGACCTGTAGTGGAAAGCCTGGGGAGGGTCTGTACAGTTCGTGTCCGTCGGAGAGCCGCTTAGGAGCCTACCTTTCCCCCCACGCAGTTCCCTGCCAGCTCCCACGCGCCGGCCCACGGGTGGAAGCGCCTGCTCTCCGCTCTGGGATTCTGCATTGCACGCGGTGCGCATGAGAGAGGGCGTGTGTGTGTGTGTGTGTGTGTGTGTGTGTGTGTGCGCGCGCGCGTGTGTGTGCATGCGTGCGTGTAGGGGGCGGGTCCTGGGGCTCGCTTGCAGTTGAGTGGAAATCGCTTCACTGTACCCCCGCGCGAGGTGGGGGGCCCCAATTTCCCCCACGCGCCTGGGGCGCACGGGTGAATGTCTGCACTCCCGTGAACTTGGTGGGGGCCACCCTGCAGGAGAGGAGTGGGGTCTGCAGCGCGTGCCGCGTGGAGCCAGGTCTGTGCTGTACCCGGAGCATTCAGAGGGGGCGGGGTCAGTCATCTAGCACAGCGCGGGAGCAGGGCTGCGGAGGCTCAGCACCGCCTCCGCACGCGGGGGCTGCTTTGTAGTTGGCTCCCTTGAGCAGGGGGCGGGGTCGGTAACTTGGTCTGAACTAGTCGGGTGGGAGAGGGGTGGGTGGAGGTTTTGCTCTGTGCGCCTACGCTCAGGGGCTGTGGTCCACAGCTAACTTGGGGGTGTGGTGGGAAACGTGGGCAGAGTTGGGTATGGAGAGGAGGCTGGAGACAGGGGATGAGACGGAGGCTGGATGCAAAAATGGGTTTAGGGATAGTGATGGAGACCTAACTCCGATTGGAGTTGTGGATAGAGCTGGGTGGAGGGATGTGGATGGCGGCGGGAATGGGGAATGGAGTCAGTGACTCTGTCAGCTCGCTCTGGGGATGGGCTGTATACCCGGCTCCTAGAGCAAGGGGCTGGGTCTGTAATCCCTTTCCTCTGGAACCTTTGCTCCCCGCGGCCCTGACTCTCCCTCTCCGCCTTGCAGGGACCGTAAGTGGCGACTATGGGCAGACTGGGTTATTGGACCCTGCTGGTGCTGCCGGCCCTTCTGGTCTGGCGCGGTCCGGCGCAGGGTGCGGCGGCGGAGAAGGGTCCCCCGGCGCTGAACATTGCGGTGCTGCTGGGTCACAGCCACGACGTGACGGAGCGCGAACTGCGAAACCTGTGGGGCCCCGAGCAGGCAGCAGGGTTGCCCCTGGACGTGAACGTGGTGGCCCTGCTGATGAACCGCACGGACCCCAAGAGCCTCATCACACATGTGTGCGACCTCATGTCTGGGGCGCGCATCCATGGCCTTGTGTTTGGGGACGACACCGACCAGGAGGCCGTGGCTCAGATGCTGGATTTTATCTCTTCGCAGACTTTCATCCCCATCCTGGGCATCCACGGGGGCGCATCTATGATCATGGCTGACAAGGTAAGTGGGAGAGGTGATAGGCTGCCAGGCCCCGGGAGTGTGCTGATCATACCACAGCCACCACAGGTCTTGGGGAGCCTCTGGCATCTGTTTTGATCTGAGGGAGGGTCGTGGCCACTGGCTCTGGTGAAAGCCAGGTTTTGCCTTTCCAACCCAGAATGAATGGAAACGCTTTCTGCCTTGGTTCTGAGGGTCTCAGGCACTTTGGGTATGCCAGGGAGAACTCAGTGAATGCAGATTTGTGAGGAAGTGGTGGAACGCTTGGAGGTTTCCAGATAGTGCACAGAGGTGAGCTTGGGGACACTTGAAACCCTCCAGCTCATATTTCTAGAATGTCACTTTTACCTGATTTGTGGAAAAGTGTCCATTTTCCCCCTTTGCGGTAAGCGACTAAAACTATTTTCAAAAAGCTGAAACGTGGCTATGTTACGGAATAAAACGCATAGTCTTTAGGTAAAGCGCAAAAGGGCAGAGAAATATGCTTCCACAGACTCCGCAGTTGGGGGAAGAGGGGCGGAGAGTTTGAGAAGTCCTATGCAGGCGCACAGCAGAGCGTTCCTCTAAGGAGTGGGTGCGAGTGGAGACAACTGACTGTAGACCCTGAGTATGGAGGGCCTGGCATTTTCCTGCATGTTCCCTGGGTGGGGCTGTCAGGGGCGCCCAGAACGTCAGATGGAGGGGTTGCTTCCCAAGGATGGGTTTTGGTATGAACTTGGATAGTGTCCGAACAAAACAAGGTGTGTCCCCATCTCTTGGTTTAGGATGGGAGAGAAGGTTATTCTGCGAACCATCCGAGAGTGTTGGTTTGGGGAAGAGGAGAGACTTTAAGGTTGGGTGAGATGTTATGAGGGCCTGGTTTGAGGATCAGAAGGGAGAAGCACAGTGAGGAAGGAGAAAAAACTGGAGTCGTGGGCGCACTGTATCTCTAAGCCCCAGGAAGGGCCTCAGATGGGGTCGGAAGCAGGGGGGTGGGGGGGAGAGGGAGCTTGCCCTTGTGTGCTGTGGTCCCCAGTCCCGAGACCTTTTTGGAATGTGTTCCTTAAATAGCGGGAGACATGCTAATGGAACGAGCAGGCGTTTGTCAGAGAACTTTCCTTCTGACGCTCTCAAAGCACTTTTATATTCATCAAATCAGATTCTGCCTCTGCCTCAGCAATTCCCACCAGCTCCTTTGGGAACTGTATTAATTCTTTCAGGTCTCCTGGGCTGCAGCACATTCAGCCGAAGTACACAACCAATGCAGTATCTTATTAAATATTCATTTGAAATGCCTTGCAGTCTAGCAGAATTCCTCCGTGCGGCCGAGCATTTTCCCAGCCACCTCTCTGTTTTGGGGAGCTCCTTTCTGGGATAAAAAAAGACGAAGTAGGGAACAGCTGTGCCCTGCCACCAGTGTATGAACTGGAGAAGGTCTTGGAGTCTCCTAGAGCATCCTGCAACTTTCAGATGCAGTACCTGAGGCATAGCGGTGGGGGGGTGGTGGCGCGGGCAGTTAAAGACTCGGCTGAGGCCACACAGTGGGTGATGGGACTAGATCTTGGTCTTCTGGTCTCAAGCTGTGATCTCACTTTCCAGCAAATTAAGCTTGTCCTTTAATTTTGTCATCTTAACTTCAGGAGGGTCAAGGAATTAATCTCATTTTATAGGAGATAGTGAGCCATGGAGAGGTGCAGTGAATCAGAGCCCAGGGCTCGTGCGTAAGGACTGACCAGTCGTCTGATGAAGGCATGAATGAGAACTGTAGTTTCTGGCAGGGGGTTGGTGATTTGGGGATCTAAATATCACCCCTGATCCCACCTCCCTTCTGAAGTTTTGACCAAAAAAGCAGCACACGAAAGATAGTACTGCCATGTGGAAAGTGAAATTTGTGGATTGACTAGGGCCCAGCACCATCAATGGAGAAATCTGTTGTAATCTGACTTAGAGACGGTGTCTTGAGTCTGGGAGGTCTGATCTGGCAGGTCTGTGGCTCAGGCTCTTACCTGATTTTATCCATCTGACTGTGGGCAAATAAGTAGGAACAGGGAGTGGGCTCAGAGTTGAGCACCCATTTGGTAGATGGCTACCCTGTCCACTGTGAACGCCAGGCTCTGACCAACTGGACCCGCGGCTGCTCCTCCCTTAAAGGTCCGTGAGAAAGGGAGTTGGGAGGGTGTGGGTGGACGTATCCTCGTCTTCTATCAAAGGAAACCACCTTCTGGGGATTGGGCAAGAGTGTGGCCCCACTTCGGAGTAAAGAAGAAAAACGGATTCCGGAAATGCAAGAGGAAGATAAGAAAGGACGTTTTCAGAGAAGTCCCGTTAAGAGAGAGATTTACGAGGTGGTGTTGGGAGAGGAATGAAAGAGTCCATTGGTTCAAAAATTGTGAAGGGAATTGTCAGGGCTGGCCAAGTTGGTCTTGATGGCAGGGAATCAAAGAAGGGAGCGGAGATAATGTTGGGGTACATGTTGGGCCCCACGCGTGGGATGTGCAGGTGATGTTGGGTGGAGGTGGGTAAAGAGTGGCATTTTGAGAAACCTGAATGTCTTAAAACAAAGAAAGAGATAATCTGAGATGGGAACAGCCCTTCCTTCCAGATTAGTAGCACATCTCTCTGGTTTGTGCCTTTGCTGCCTGTTTCCTTTGGAGCTGAACACCGAGTGCAGTTTGTTTGGCTCTGAAGAGGCAGCCATGAGATGTTGCCTAAAACTCCACCTTGCTTGGTTGAGTGTGCCAACAGCGTTACGGCCACAAAGTCTGAATCTCCCCAGACTGAACAGGCCTTTCTGTCTCCCCGCTAAGACGATGTTCATTTGGTAAAGCCCAGAACGTACCTGTGTTGTTTTCACTTCCAAATTGGCAGCACGATAGTTGATAGTGCCCCTGTGGATAAGAATGGTATTTAACTTGATAATCAGTTAAATTCAACATGCCCCCCCCTCCCATTTTTACCTTTCCCTCAGTCTACCTGACTCGTGTGAGAAAGAACAAAGCCTTCTAATAACTGAAATGTGTTAAGTGGCAGATTTGTGTGATGTTCATTTACAGTAGAGACGTTAATTTTTGCTTCTATCAGTGGGTGGTCCTGAAATATAATTCAAGTAGAGGTGAAAATAATGTTTGATGTAGATAAAGTTCTAATCTTATCTTGGTTTGGCCACTTTGATCCCCTCCAAATGGAACACAACTCTGGTTGCAGCAATAGCCCCTAATAAATCAGGCATATGCATTAGACCTTCATGTTTCTGCTCAATGCCCTCACCTCCTCCTCCCTTTCTATTTCTAGCGAGTCCATGGGGGAAAAGACAAGGCTTAGATTTTAGCTACATCTAGCCATGTCGCTTATTGCGTGGACTTTCTGTGTTGTGTCGATCCATACCTCATCTCTTCTACTCGAGTGGAAGTTCCTTGAGGACAGTCTTTTTAAAAAGTGTGTTTATGTGTTTTGAAATAATGAATACTACTCTTCCACAGTTTATAAAAATAATGTCATTTCACCGGAGAGCGTTTAGAAAATATATTAACCTTTAAAGAAGAAAATAAAGTTCTTCCCTCTAAGTCCTGTCACCAGGAGCAGCCAGCCACTGTTGGACATGAGGGTCTCTTTCTTCTAAGCTGTATTCAGTTAGTTATCAGTTCAGGATTATACTGTATATATGTTTTGTTTTTGTTTTGTTTTTGTACGTTGCACTCTGTGGGCTTTTTTTAGTCATAAGATTCAGGTTTTTCTTTAATTGCGGAAAAATCTCAGCCATTATCTGTTGGCTGTTTCCTGTCCAGTATTTTCTCTGTTCTCTCCGTATGTAGTTTCTCCATGTATCTTAAACATTTTTTTTCAGTTCTCTCTCTGTTATGTTTGAGGAGGTCTCTCCAGTTCTGTACTCCAGTTAACCAACTCTTATTTGTATCTGGTTTATTATTTTGCCTTAACCAGCTCTTTTTATTTGTATCTTGTCTGTTATTTTACCTGTCTGTTGAGCTTTTAATTTCAAATGTTCACCGTATTTCCAAGATAAATAATTGGCCCCTTTTTATACCTTCCTGCTTCTTTATTTTATTTTAAAAACCCTCTTTTTACTTTGTGAATGTAAATTCTTCCTCTATCCCTTTGAGGATTAAAAAAAAAATACCGTGAAGTCCTTCTCTGATTGCTCTAGCATCTTTGTTTCTTCAGATATGAATTCTTTCATTTTGCAGATTCTGATCATTGGATGTCCTCATGTGTTCTCTAATGTCTCCTATGTCCTCATGTGTTTTGTTTGTGAACTTATTTTCAAGGTGATTGTATGATATCTTCTGCCCTATGTCTGCAAGGGTATATGTGCATTTCAACTAGAGCTCATGTCAACAGCTCAACTCAAAGCTCTCTCTCTGCTCTGTATATCCTATGGTGCCCGCTTGGGTCCCAGGCTCATGTAAGTTGCTTCATTTTTGCTCCTTGGCACAGACGGAGGCGTCCTTTTTGACTGTGACTCCTGGAAGCATGATTCTGAGTCCAGTTTTGCCTCTAATTCCCTGGGTAGATGTTGGGACCTCTGCTTCCTTGGCTCATATTGGACCCATCCCCCATGAACCATGTGACTTTGAGTCCTGCTTGAGATTGTAGAGTCCCATCTTTTGATTCATTTATTTTTAGAGAGTCCTCTTTATTTTTAATTCGTGATTCCCTTGTCTTATTTCCAAGCAGTATTATGTAAAATTTAAAACATCTAAAGGTTTATCTATAAATTCTGCATCTTAGGAGCAGGGGAGGAATTACTGAGTGTGTTCACTCTGATTTTGACCCAGTTATATTTCACAACCTGCTTTCATTTTTTTTTCAAGCTTGATTATGTATTTGTGGAATTTTCCCTTTAAATCCTATTTAATAAAATAGACTTCTCAAACATGATTTTAAATGGCTGCAGAGTATTCTGTTTATACCACAGTCATTGTGACTAATATTTCTATTTTCCACCTTTATTAAGGTTTATTTCTGGTTCGCGTGTGTGTTCTTTTCAGCACCTTGTGCTGATCTCA